GTGCGCCACCATGCCTGGTTAATTTTTGTATTTTTAGTAGAGACAGGGTCTTGCCATGTTGGCCAGGCTGGTCTCAAAATCTTGACCTCAAATGATCCACCCACCTCAGCCTCCCAAAGTTCTGGGATTACAGGCATGAGCCCCTGGGCCTGGCCAAAATACTAACTTTTAAAAAGGCATTTTCCATTCTCAAGACTACAACACTGTAGTGTTGGCCATTAGAACTATTTGATCTAATTTTTAAACACTTTTTGTTTATACATCATGCAAAAATTCATTTTATAGCCAGACACAGTGGCTCACAACTGTAATCCCAGCTTTGGGAGGCTGAGGCGGGAGGATTGCTTCAGTTCAGGAGTTCAAGACTGACCTGGGCAACATAGTGAGACCTCATCTCTAAAAAAAAAAATTTTTAATTAAAAAAATTTAAGAAGATTTGCCAGGCATGGTGGCACACACCTGTTGTCCCAGCTACTCTGGAGGCTGAAGTGGGATGATTGCTTAAGTCCAGGAAGTTAAGGTCACAGTGAGCTGAGATCGTGCCACTGCACTCCAGCCTGGGTGACAGAGCAAGACCCTGTCTTCCAAAAGAAAAAAAAATCCAAGTTTCTTTTTTTTTTATTTTTATGATTTCTCAGGTTATTTATCATTGTAAGTAGGATAAGCTCAAGTCTTTGTGGCTTTTGCTTTATTACAGTTGTCTTTATTTTATTTAAAAGACTTCTACTTGTTTATGGTACCGCTCTCTCATTTCTCAATTTGTAGTACCAATTTAATCTCATTAAGTCCTTGCTTAGGTAATAGAACCCATCATCTTTATAACACCCCAAAGACATAGTCTCTCCTTGTAATTTATCAGGTTGAAAAGGGGCATGTAGTTGATATGTATCTATTACTCATCTGCTTCAAGGAAGTACCAACTCCTAAAGCAGACAGATTATTGTCTGTGTTAATTATGTATAAATTAAAATGTCTTACTTCAGATTTCTGTGATTTGATGAATAAAGCATTCTTTTCAATCTCAGTATGACCAGTTGTTCCTGTTGTTTATTCATATGTGTCTTCTGTTTAAAGAATTTTAGTAATCACTCATGATTTCTACTTTATAAATCCATGTGGAGTTTGCCAAAGTATTATATAATCTTAGTTACTTAGTTTGCCAAAGTGTTATATCTTTTCTCCAGCCCCCCTTCTGAGAGCTCATATTCCATTTTAACCTCTAATATACTTTTAGTATTTTTGATTGTCTATAGTAGAGAGAATAAAGTACAACCTCGACTAAACAAAATATTATAAGTACTTTTGCCTCTTCCTGGACCATGCAAAGACGTTAGAATATTTAGCATAATTTACCTCCTGCTTACCTTCCCTCCCCAGCTTATATGCTGCTCTCAGGTATTTTAACGTCTGTCGAACCCCATAAGGCATTATTATTATTGCTATTTTTATAGTCATTATTCATGTGCCATGCTTACTGTGGCATCTGTTGTATTATTTAATTTGATGCTTAAGACAATCTTACGTGGCAGAAATGATTATCCTTATATAATAGATGAGAACTAAGGCATGGAGAGTTTATGCATTTTACAAGTTCACATGGCCAGTAAGTCACAAATTAGGATTTAAACCCAGTCCAGAACCTGGTCTCTTAACTAGTGTAAACTCAAGTCCTGATTATTACTATTTTTTTCTCTCTCACTGAAAAATAATGACTTGAACCAAAAAGTTCTCACTAAGCAATTGTAAGATTTTTGACCATTAGGCTAATGGGCTCACCCTGACTACATATGAGGGTAAATAATTTTTTTTCATTCTTTTAGCTGACATAGCCCAGAGATACAGGATAAGCAAATACCCAACCCTCAAATTGTTTCGTAATGGGATGATGATGAAGAGAGAATACAGGGGTCAGCGATCAGTGAAAGCACTGGCAGATTACATCAGGCAACAAAAAAGTAACCCCATTCAAGAAATTCGGGACTTAGCAGAAATCACCACTCTTGATGTAAGTTGTAACTTTTGCTAGATTAAATGAACATTCCCTGATTAATGTAAACAAATTCTAATGCAAACAAAAAATCTGGACATTCTCCTATAGTTTATTGCAGTGGATTTGACATACATATACTTAATGAGTTGAATTTTTTTGAATTAATCTCAAGGGAAATACTTACATTATACTGAACTTCTGGATGAAAGATATAGCATACAGTAAAGCTGTACTAATGTGAATTGAGCATATATGAAAGCCTCAATTATAAAGAAATGGAAGTTAAAGTCAAGTATATACAACCAGAGCTTCTGTATTTTTCTTGTGGAGACCTTCAGGGTGTCTGCTCTAATCGCCCTTGTGTGAGCTCTTTTTATGAGTTTTAATGTCCTCTAAAATAGCCTCTGCTTAACGATAAGTTTAGCACACCCCTTTCTTTGTACACTGGGTAGTGTTTTAAAGACAACAACAACAAAAGCAAAAACAATTGAGTTTGGGCTCTATCACAATCACCAATCATCACTGTCAGGTTTGAGATTTGATTTTACCCTACTTGCAAGCTAAGCTAACCAATTACCATTTCATGGATTCTGTTAGAAGACACAAGACTGCTGGGTCAGAGACAAAGGAATTTATTGCTCACATCACAGCAAGTAGTGTGAGCATGTTTGCATTTGTTTCCTTGCCCTCCAAATCCTATGGAGGCAATACAGAGGACTCCCCAGATGGATACCTGCACATGCAGTGGGTTATGTCACAGGAGAGGGACAGTGGGCTTGGGGAACTCACTATTTCAGAGCAAGCAGTAACCCTGCATTTGTCCTGGCTGGAGGCATTCCCTCGTATCAGTGTTGCTCGCTGCAAGCACAACTCTGAGAAATGGCCTGGATAAAGAGTAGTCAGAGTCTTGCATTTTTTGGTAGACCCAGTAAGATGGGTAGGAGTGTGAGAGAGCCATGGAGGAGTCTCTCCAACAGTCACAAGTTATGATTGATACATTGTTTTAACACATTTTAGAATTAGTCCCCTTACTTAGGAAAAGATTGTCACTGATCAAATAGTTATCTATTTCTTAAAAATTTTAAATGCTAGAAGGAAATGTTTATGATTATATTTATTATAGTTAAGATTGTTTTCAACCCAATGTAATCTTTAATAGTTTTGGACTAGGTGTTAAAAACTAAATATGCATTTATAGTCATACTTCATTTGAACAATAACTAGACTAAGATAAGGGGTAAATGAAATAACATGTTTATAAAACTGTGTGTTTGCAAAATAATTACATACTTTATTTTACAGCGCAGCAAAAGAAATATCATTGGATATTTTGAGCAAAAGGACTCGGACAACTATAGAGTTTTTGAACGAGTAGCGAATATTTTGCATGATGACTGTGCCTTTCTTTCTGCATTTGGGTAAGTATCTTATTTAAAAGTGTGTTAGTGGGTTGGTTTGGCTGCCATGTTAAATTCCTATTGTATTTGGTCATTTTCTGAAGGTGATCTCTCCAAAAATGATCTCAGTCCTTTTAAAATCACCAAACAGTCTTTATGCCTGTCTCTGAATTCTTTTTAAGGTTTTAAAACTCTGTTTTTCTTTCTATAGTATTATCTGTTTCAGAATGTGGGCAAGCAGGAAAAAATGGACAAGTTAACAATTAACTCATTCATGCTTTTATTGAACTCATTTACTAACTCTTATCCTATGTTAGACAAAATGCTAATCTGTGGGGTTACCACAGTGAAACAACACACTGTCTTTCTTGTTAAGAAGCATGAGTTTTATCGTCGTCATTCGTCTCCATCTCTCCACCACCTTTTTTTATATCTTCCCTGTCTCAGAGGAACAATTCTTTCTAAGGCTAACCTGTTCTCTGGTATCCTTGTAACTGTCCTTTCAAACTCCCCTGGGGCTTTGATCCACCAGTTGTTCCTGCTTTCTTGTGTTTTCAACCTGACCCTTTTCAAGAACTGCTTTCCTTTTCTGAAAACATGCTTCTTTCTTTCCTGACCTGCCTCTTCTCTTAAGCTATAATGTCATCTTTCTTTTTATTCTTTTTTTTTTTTTTCAAAGAATAGTTTATGCCTGGCTACCTTGATTTTCTCAAATTCTAACCAGTAAAAAACTTAACCTTTTGGAAGCTAACTTTCACCTCCATTGCTCTAATGAAACTTGTCTCTACACATTCACAAAATGACTTCTTAATTACCAGATTGAGTGGTCTTTTAAACATCTTAATCCTTTTCAATTCCTCTGAAGGGTGTGACGTTCAACTACCTTTTTCTTTTTCTGCTGTGTCAACACTTACATTGAATCCCCCTGGTTTGGCCCCTACCTGTCTGAATTCTCTGACTTTATCTCCTTTTTTTTTTCTTTTTCTCAAGATGGAATCATTTTTGTGGTTCTGTTCTTGACCCTCTCTCCTCATTGGAGGTTATCTCAACCATCCTTTGACTTCCATGCAGTATTATTTCTTTTCATTGGCTCATGACTGTTAGGCTCAATTGTAGTAGCTATCTTGAGTGGAGCCTGGATGTCTGGCACAATATATCCTCTTCATTTTTTGACCTTTATTGTTTGTCCTTGCTTTAATGCTTTTGTAAGATTTTGTTTGTATGTTTTATTGTGTGCATTATTAGTTTTTTGTTTTTTGTTTTTTAAGCGATGAGGTCTCACATGTTGCCCAGGATGGTCTTGAACTCCTGGCCTCAAGTGATCCTCCTGCCTCCGCCTCCAAAAGCGCTGGGATTATAGGCATGAGCCACTGTGCCCAACCCGTATTCATTAAATGCTGCAAGCACACTTCTGCAGCAGAGCCTGTATCTGAAAGTGCTCCTCCCAGATGTCATCTCATCAGAAAGTCTTTGCCTGATAACTTTATATAAAGGAGCACTACCATCATTTAATTTGTCATTCTTTATCTACTTATTCCACTTATTTTCTTCATAGCATTTTTTTGTAACCACCAAAGATAAATATATCTACTTGTTAGTCTATCTCTACTCACCAAAATGTAAACTCCATGAGAGAGAGAGAGTTTTGTTAGTTTTGTTCACTCCTGTTTACCCAATGTCAAGGCATAGCTGGTATAAAAGAAGCACATAGTAAATAGTTATTGAATTAATTAATTAATGGAACACACTTTTTCTGTTCTCACTGTTATCAATCTAGGTTAGCACCCCTTCCCCCTATCTCCTGGACTACTGTAATTAGAAACTAGAGATAAATCAATATTCAATTAATCTAAAAATAATTGATTACAAAAGTAATTTGTTATAGTATTCACTCTACATATTTTTATTGAACAACTTTTATGTGCCAGATACTGTACTAGGTTCAGGAAACAACAATGGACAAATAAACAAAAAATTACTTATTTATGGAACTATATTTTAGTGATGTGGGTTATTTCGGGGTTTTTGTTTTGTTTTGTTTTGTTTTTTTCAGTCCTTGTGACCAAACCAATGACATTGATCCCTAATTGCTAGAAAACAGTCTGGGGTCAAAAACAACCTTTTAGTGCTAAAACTCCCAATCTAAACTTATACAAAACACAAAAACAACTAAAATTTTCCTTTAAAAAGTCTGCCTCATATTAAATGTTTTCTTTAAATGTATGCTTTTCTTGGTATTGCATAGTCTTATAATAGGGACTATGATGGATAAGTATGTATTTCAAGTCTGTAATTCCTACATTGCAGAATCCTGTCATTCAGGTTTATTACTGCTTCTCCCTTCCTATAGGGATGTTTCAAAACCGGAAAGATATAGTGGAGACAACATAATCTACAAACCACCAGGGGTAAGTTGCTATTTCTTAATGTTGTATGATAAGATATAATTTAAATACATGTATAAAATGTAGTTTTATATGTGTTAATGTTCATAGAATCATAGAACTTTAGAATTGAAAGGAACTTTGAAGCATCATCTTGTGCTGATCTAAACCCTTCAAAACGAAGATGGGAGCACAGAAGCCTAAAGTCACACAGGCATTAGAGTAGCAGAGCTGGCCTTAGGGATCCCCTGACTCTCAGGCCTTTTCTATCTCTCTGGCATTCAGTCTGGGAGCCAAATTTTTAAAATGCTGCAGTTGCCTGTGATTGTCATTTCTACCTGTTGTATTTGGCTAGTATTGTACTAGCCAAACTCCCAAATCTCCTGGGGTATAAATTTACTCAGTACCTGCCAGGTAATAAGGAGCAGCTAGGTTGTTTTTAACCTGTAGGGTAAGAAGTTTTAAGTAGCTGCTTAGGCCCTACCAGGTGATGGTAGCCATAACTAAGAGGCAAAAATCATAGCATGTGTTATCCCAAATTCACCAAAAAAAAAAAGGAAATTTATGGATATTTTTTCAATTTGTAGTTTTCATTTTAATGTTGTTTACAGTGTTTTTACACTGAGATTTTAAATTTTTGTGCAGATAAATGAATTTCTTGCTTAGAAAGTTTCTATTTTAAACTCACATAGGTGTTTGCTTATGTTTTTTGCAAGTACATTTCTTTGAGTAGCTTACTTAGTATCATCATCTCTAGATTATCAGAATGCAGTACATATCTCCCAGTGGTAGTGTGGTTGTTCAGAGCATGGGCTCTGGTGGTATCAGACTGGGTTTGAATGTCAAATGTGCCACCTTCTTAGGTATGTTACTCTGGGAAAGTTTCTTCGCTTCCCCATGCTTCAATTTCTTAATTAGTAAAAATGGGATGATAATAACAGTACTTGCTTTATAGGGATGTTGGGAGGATTAAATGAATCAACACATATAAAATGTTCACAATCATGCCTAGACACAGTAAGTTTATCGATTAATATTAGCTATTATTTTTATCATTTTAGACACTTCATAGATAATTGACTTTGAGTTAATGTGGAAACAGATATGGAGGTAATAAAATGAAATAGTCTTGCCTTACATCCATATAGCATCTTGTATTTTTCAAGGCTTTTTCACTATCCATATTTTCTTCTAAAAGAAGTAATTTCTAAAATTTTCAGCTCTAAGGAATAGCTAAATTAATTCATTTGGAGAATTCTTCTTTTCACAATGCCTTTCTGCCTTTGGTGAGGATACTGAAAAAGAGTTAATTGACCTAAATCCAAGAAAAAGCAATAGGCTTGGGTGTCACAGGTTAGATTATTAGCTCACTGGTAATCACAGAATTACCTGCTTTTTACCACCCATGGCCCTCTTTCTTGGAAGTTCCATGATTTATGTTTCTTTTGTAACACTGGTAGATTTTCTGGGTTCATGGATGGATTTAAGAATGTACTTTTTAGCCTGGGCAACAGAACAAGACCACATCTCTGAATAAAATAAAATAATTAGCTTGGCATGGTGGCATGCACCTGTAGTCCCAGCTACTCTGGAGGCTGAGGTAGGAGAATTGCTTGAGCCCAGGAAGTCAAGGCTGCAGTGAGCCATGATCATGTCACTGTACTCCAGCGTGGGTGACAGAGTGAGACTTTGCTTTAAAAAAATATATATATATATATATATATACTTTTGCCAGCACAGTTTAGATTTAATTTTTTTTTTTTTTTTTTTTTTCTGTCTTGTAATAGCATTCTGCTCCGGATATGGTGTACTTGGGAGCTATGACAAATTTTGATGTGACTTACAATTGGATTCAAGATAAATGTGTTCCCCTTGTCCGAGAAATAACATTTGAAAATGGAGAGGTATGGGCTTTCTACTGTGTATTGTTACTTTAAATTCAAATGTCTGAAACCACAAGCTTCCTCCACCTGTCTTACTATGTTAACAGAGTTATCAGTTGTAAGAATCATATAGTGAACATAACTATATCATAGCTGTTTCTGTAATATAAGCCAGTGATTCTTCACCTTTGCTGTCCCAGAACCCCTCTATTACATTTCCAGTAAGAGTAGTAGTTCACCATAACCTTGAAAATGAGTTTGAAAATGCCTTTCAGGTGATTCTGATGCCCATCTGTTGGTTGAGGATCCCTGTTTGGGTGGATGTCCTTTAGAACAAGGGTCCGCAGCCATGGCCTGCTAGGAAGAGGGCTGCCCAGCGAGAGAGCATTACAGCCTGAGCTCTGCCTCCTGTCAGATCAGCGGCAGCATTAGATTCTCATACGAATGTGAACCCTGTTGTGAACTGTGCATGTGAGGGATCTAGGTTGCATTCTCCTTATGAGAATCTAACTAATGCCTAATGATCTGAGGTGGAACAGTTTCATCCCGAAATCATCATCCCCCACCCCGATCAGTGGAAAAATTGTCTTCCATGAAACTGGGCCCTGGTGCCAAAAAGGTTGGGGACTGCTGCTTTAGGAGCAGTGCTTTGCAGATTTTAGTTACAATTATTTCTATATAATGAATAATCCTTTGCCATTAAAAGATTCTTCTGTTTTTTGTAAAGCAGTTAATGTTGTCTTTTTCATTATAAATAATGAAAGCAGTTAGCAGTGATCATGTAACTGACCTCAGTCATCCCATGCTTCTGAAATCAAGTCCATCAAAATTCTTTCAACTCCCACCCAAACAAAACTTAAAAACCTAAGAGGCTGGAGTAACAAGTACAAAGAGTTATGTCTGTAAGGACCTCTGTCCTTTCTTTACTTTATGTAAGACATATCTTTCATTCCAGGTCTTTTGTTTTTAAAATCAATGGCCTAAGAATGCAAGTTTTTAAAAACTTTGTATTAGGTACAGTTTTTAAAAACTTTGTGTATGCATATACACTTCAAAGAATTGTAAGTGTATAAATCACAGTTTAAATATCTGGTCCCCCAAAATTATCACAGAGTAAACATACCCATATAATCACTACTTACAGTGGTATGGAACAAATATTTGTGTGTCCTAATATTCATATGTTGAAATCCTAATCCCCAATGTGATAGTATTAGGGAATGAATCCTCCATTCATGAGATGGAGTCCTCATGAATGGGATTGTGACCTCATAAAAGAGACCTCAGAGAGTTATGTAGCTGTCTTTCTGCCATGTGAGGATACAATGAGAAGTAGGCAGTCTGCAACCTAGAAGACAGCTCTCACTAGAACTGACCATGCTGGCACCCTGATTTTCGATTTCCGGCCTCCAGAATGATAAGAAATGAATTTCTGTTAATTTGCAAGCCACCCAGTTTATGGTACTTTAATATAGCAGCTCAAACTAAGAGAGAGGGTAGACAATTTTTTTCAACAAAGAGTCAGGTAATAAGTATGTTAGGCTTTGCAGTTCATATAATCTCTGTGGCAGCTACTCAACTTTTCGGTTGTAGCACAAAAGTAACCTTAGACAATACGTAAACAAATGTGTGTGGCTGTGTTTCAATAAACCTTTATTTCTGGACACATACTTTTCACATGCCATGAAATATTTTTAAAATTTTCCCCAATTATTTAAAAATATAAAGACCAGGGAGGGCCCTGTGCCATGGCTCATGCCTGTAATCCCAGCACTTTGGGAAGCCAAGGTGGGTGGGTCACCTGAGGTCAGGAGTTCGAGACCAGCCTGGCTAACTAACATGGTGAAACCCCATCTCTACTAAAAATGCAAAGTTAGCCGGCCATAGTGGCAGGCGCCTGTAATCCCAGCTACTTGGGAGGCTGAGGCAGGAGAATCACTTGAATCTGGGAGGCAGAGGTTGCAGTGAGCTGGGATCCGGCCACTGCACTCCAGCCTGGGCGACAGAGCGAGACTCCGTCTCAAAAAAAAAAAAAAAAACCAAACCAAACAGTTAAAGACCAGTTATAGCTTATGGACCTAACAGAATCAGGCAACGAGTCAGATTTGACCCATGGCTATAATTTGTCAATCCCTGAGCTAAGTCAAGAAATAAAATATTTCCAAACCCCTTGTCTTCCTTCTCAATCATTACCCCCATTTACCATCTTCATAATCACTTATTTTGAATAGGACTATAGGAAGTTTTTCCTGTTTTTGAACCTAAAATAGAATCATGTCTTTTGTGTCTGGCTTCTTTCACTCAACTTTATATTTATGGAATTCATTCATATTGCATGAAGCTGTAGTTCATTCATTTTCATGCTGAATATAATTCCCTATATAAATATAACACAATGTATCCATTCTACTATTGGTGGACATTTAGACTGCTTCCAGATTTTGACTACTGTGAATAATGCTGCTATGAACATTCTTATTATGTCTTTTGGTGAATATATGCACAGATTTCTACTGGATATATATACCTATGAATAGAATTGCCAAGTCATAGGGCATATATATATTCAATTTCAGTGTATGATAACCAGTTTTTCCAAAGTGGTTTTAGCAGTTTACATTCCTACCAGTAGTGTATCAAAGTTCACATTGCTCCACATCCTTACCCACATTTGTATCAGCTATTTACATTTTTAATCTATTTTGGTGTATGTGTAGTAGAGTTTCATTGTGGTTTTAATTTGTATTTCCCTGATGATCAGTGGGATTGAGCACTATCAGTTGCCTTTTCTGGAAAGACAGATGGTCCTAGAAGAAAAGCAGCTTCAAATGCAATGCTTAATGTTCTGGGTTTCCTTCTATTCCAGTCTTGGCCCATAATTCTTTCCTTTTTTTTTTTAACTTTTGGATGCTTTCAAAAAGGTGGTTTATTCTTATTATTATTACCCTGGTTTTTCTAATTTTCCCAGTAGTAAGATTAGTCCAAAGTACATCCATTATTACTTCAGAATGTAATTTTTAGCACTGTAGCTTAACCTAATTGTAATACAACAAAACCTGGAGTTCTTAAGGAAGAATATAATCTCAGATTTGATGCTTTCTGTTACTAAGGTGTATGTATATTGGTAAGTGCTTTAAGATTTGGAGATAATATATGTGAACTCTCCAAGATTCCCTGAAACTCTCCCTGAGTCTTTCCAGAGGCTTCCAGCTCTTAGATCTTAGTATCTCTTTCCCCCTTTCTTGGGGAAGAGAGAGCAACACTTAACTTTTGGGACTGGCCATTGTGAGCAAACCAGAATGCTCTTTGCCCCCTCTTCGTCTTGAGAATGCATTCTTGGGGTATTTCTGATCTATGTCCATTGGCATTTCCAACACTTAGACTGAGATGTATAAGGCAAAAAGAAAACTCAAGGAACTGAGTGCCATTTCTTAGGTCCTTAAGTCCTTAGCCAGTCTGCTTTGTTATATTCGCTTTTCAGGGCCTTATGTTTGTTTATATAATGTCCAGGATTTTTAGCTGAACTTCCTGGGAGAAATAGAGAAAAGTGTCTACTTCATCTTTCTGGAAGCAGAAGTCTATGCCAACAGCATTTAAAAACTCGTTATAAGATTTTTTTTTACCTGATTTAAATGTTGCCTTTGCATTTTAGTGCATAAAAATAAGTTAGTATTTTTATGTCAGCATGGTACATTTTTGGTGTACCTTTTCCACCATAAAATAATATTTAATTCTTATTAAGTTTGTAGCAATTTCAAATCAAATGTATGAATGTTTGTATGAGATTCTCGGTGTGTCTGCTTGGACAGATCATTGCAAGCCTAAATCATCTTACATTGGCTCTTTGCTGAGTGTTTCATAGAAAGAGGATTAGTGCTGCCAGGATCCAGTTTAACATGTAAGAATACTCCACTGGGACATCCTACTTGTTTATAATAGCTATTTCTCAAATCAAAGTTCTAAAAATGGTTTCTCATGAAATGAGCTTAAATATCATAAACTTATCAGGCTCTATTGCACTGGTTATTATCTTAATGCAATGCCATATTATAAAATATTTTGGAATTTTGAATTATAGAAGACTTTTGAGTGAAAATTCTAACACAAGCCTTTTCTTGCAAAGTCTCTTTTTTTGGTTTAAAGAAGTTGCTTTACCAAGTTTTCTGGTTTCTTTTGTTCCTGCAATTCTTTGATTCTACTTCCTTTTCCCTAGTTTTTTAGAATTTCAGAGAGTATTCCTAATTTGAAAATCTGAAATCTGAAATGCTCCAAATTCCAAAATTTTTTGAGTACCTCCATGACACTCTTGGAGCACTTTATATTTTTAGATTAGGGATGCTGAAGCGTTAACAATAATGCAAATATTTCAAAATCCAAAACACTTCCGATCCCAGGCATTTTGAGTAAGAGATACTCAACTTTTATTTCTGTGTCACAGCTTGGCACTTGGAGGCCATTCTTAGTGACCAGAGTATTTTTTTGTTCAGTAATGTTCTGTTGCTTCTTTCAGTGTTATTTTTGAACCTTCTTCTCAAAGTAGTATTTTCCTGGATTTTGAGTAATTCATATTGTTAAGACGCATCTTAAGTCATTGTAGTTTTTTGAGATGGTTTGAATAAATATGCTCAGATTGGGTGTCTTTCAATCTTTAATCATGTGTCATTACCCCCCATGACACACTAAATGCTTAGGTACAGGAATTCAAATGTTTGGATCAAATAGCGTCTTTCAAACCATTTCTCATTGCAGGGCAAAGTAAAAAATTTTCACTAGAATACACATAATTCTTATTTTTCATTGAATCATACCCTTCTGTGTGCAATGCACTCAATTTTGTATTCTTTTCTTTTTAATACTGGATATATAGATTGGATGTAGCAAACATAATCTTGTCTTGCTTCCATCTCTTTCCTATCATTAATAGCATTTTAAAGTGGACTGTAAGACATTTCACGGAATTCAAAATACTGCTCCTACAATTTGAGTGTTTGGCCACAAGGTGTCAGTGGTGTGTCATAGTTTTATAGTACCAGCAGCCTAGAAGAGATTGGGATTTAAGCTCCCTCTGCTTTTTAATGCACATTCATACTTATTAAAAAAAAAAAAAAAAAAAAAAAAACTTAGAATTTATTAATAGAATAGTTAAGACAAGCAATTGTAAAGCAGAATGTTTGAGGTACTTTAAATCAAACTTTAAGAAAGTAAACATTTAAAAAATACTTATTTATTTATATTTGAATTGTTAGTCTTTTCCATTTTGATTTTAAACTTGGTTTTGAAAGAGAGGATGGATTAGACTCTTTCTGCTTACAGTTTATCAAATGAATGTCCTAGGCCCCCCCCCCGCCTTTTTTTTTGAGATGGAGTTTCGCTCTTGTCACTCAGGCTGGCGTGCAATGGTGCGATCTCAGCTCACTGTAACCTCCACCTCCCAGGGTCAAGGGATTCTCCTGCCTCAGCCTTGAAGGAGTAGCTGGGAGTACAGGTGCCTGCCACCACGCCCAACTAATTTATATATTTTTAGTAGAGACAGGGTTTCACCATGTTGGTCAGGCTGGTCTTGAACTCCTGACCTCAGGTGACCCACTCGCCTCAGCCTCCTAAAGTGCTGGGATTACAGGTGTGAGCCATCGCGCCCAGCCTGTCCCTGGTTTTCTTACTTCTGTAGGCCTCAGGTATGTTTAGTTGGATTACTTACATTTTTTAGACAATTTGCATTCACTCATTTAGTCCTCAGAGGCCCAGGAAAATTTAAGAATTTGTCATGACTATTCGCCTGCTCTGGCAGTTCTTTCAGGGATAATTTTTAAAACCAGATTTAAAGGTATAGACCTGGAAAATCTTAAACAATGAAACAGGGTAGCACCCTTCCCCGTGGTTGTCAGCACATTTAATACTTCTTGAGATTTGTTATGTTGTAACCAACCATTCAGTCATTTAATCTGTGGGGAAATAGCTGTTTCCTGTAAATCTGGTTATCTTACTATTCTTCTCCTTAATCTTTTAACATTTGTTTGGTAAAAAATATGCTTGTATGGACATAGGTAAACTTGGAAGCCTAAGCAGCATACATTACCACCTATTTAGAAGCATTTGTTTATTTATTGACATATGTTGATTGTGAGCAAAACAGAAATGAAGTAAGATTGTCTTCAAGGGGTTTTCAGTTTAATATTTCATATGTACAGATAATATAACACAAAGTCATGCCCCATTCCACATGAGGGGCACTGATAAAATGCTCTTGGAGTTTAGAAAAAAGAATTTTCCTTTGACAGGGATGGGGTGGAATGAGAGATGGCTTTAGAGAAGAGGCACTACATCCTGAAAAGAAAAGTACTAAGAGAGAAGTAGAAGTACTAAAGAAAATGGGGAGATAGGAGAAGGAGGTTAGACAGGAGGGGACTAGGCAGTAGTTTGAGTATTTAAAGTACTTGTTTAGAATTTGAAATGGAGATGTTAAGCAGACAGATGGAAACCTAGGCTTGGATTCTGTACTGGAGCTGGGCTTGTAGACACAGATAAGTGATCAGAAGTAGTGATCGAAACTGTTGAACTACATGAAGTTGTCAGGCTAGACCAGAGAAGTCCAAAGACAACCATTGAGACCAGCATCAGTTAATGGATGGTGGAAGAAAAAATGGGAGTCCAAGAGATAAAAGATGAGGAAAAAAAAAATCAGCTTACTAAAAGATTAATGTGATGCCGGGGGTGGGGAGAGGGGAAATGGGAATCAGTACTAATGGGTATGTAGTTTCTTTTTGAAGTGATAAAAAATGTTCTAGGGTGGGTGCAGTGGCTCATGCCTGTAATCCCAGCACTTTGGGAGGCCGAGGGGGACAGATCATG